ATTGCAGACCGAGGGGGCTACGAGGAATAGGCCGATTTGATATAAGCAGGAAAGGCCATAAGGAATTTCTCATTGACGGCTGAATTTGGGGACACCTAGGAAAATCCAGCACTGGTCGTTAGCTACTGATCGGATATTGCTGAAGGTCGTCCAGCTGCAATACAGGAAAGGAATTTGAGAAAGTCTGCCCAGGCAGGAACAAGGAATAAGAGGTAGCCCTCAGATTATTTTTGCTTTTTAGAAAAGCGGGGAGTAAGTCCGATAAAAAACTTAGCCGCGCTGATTGGTCTGGGCAAGGCTAAGGGACACTTTAATGAGCCAAATTTATTGTTTGAAGAGGCAGAATGGTGTGATAATCTTTTAGACCCTGATGATGTAAATCCTGAAAAAGAATCTGGACTGTCTGGTCTGTGTCCTCCCTTTATTGGGGATGATCCGTAGATAAAAGTGAGGCGAAAAAGCCTTGGCGCAAGGGAATATGGACTTTAGAGAAAAGCATTAATAAGGACGGACTGCAAAACTCAGACTACAACAGCGGAGCGGCCACCTGCGACTGAGCCTGGCGCTGCGCCCTTGACACACACACACACACACACACACACACAGACACACACACACACATGACAGAAGCAGCAGGGTTATGCAGCACAGTCTTTATAGGTTCTTATTAGAGTTTTCGTATTGGTAATATTTGTCATTTTATGCTGTGAGTGAAAAGTGTCAGGAACTCCTTTGTGTGTTTGTGTGAGTGTGATTGTGTGTATGTGTGAGACACGGCCCACTGCAGCTGCAGAGTTCTCCGGCTAGTGGAGGGGCCGGTGAGAAACTACAGGGTCCTAGTGCCTGCCTGCTGGGTCATCGGTGCTGTGGTTGGTTTGGGCTCAGTGTTCTGTTACAGGTAAAATACCTCCTCTAACGGGAGGCAGTAATTCTGTGTTGATTGTTATTTTAAATTTAGGTGCATACTCTGCGGGGAGAGTGCACCTCTGAACCATCTGCCTAATAAAAAAATATTGTTTAAAAGAAAAAAAAAAAGAAAAAAATCTGCAACCTTACAGGGGTTGTTTGTTTAATCAGGGGTCGTAGATGCTGATTATGAAGAAAAAAACCAAAATTATGGTCTGTACCCCTGTGTTCAGTAACAAAAGGATCAAAAAATTATTCAGCTTGTTAATTTTACTGCGGCTCCCTTTAATGTTATGCCAAGAAGCCACAATTACTCAGGATTTGGTTCAGCAGGTACTCCTTAAATACTTTTGGACTTAAACGTGACACAAGGTTAACTTCTGGTAAAATGTACTCTCGTTAAAGCTAAAAAATCTGTTGAGCTGACAGGCATTTAGATACTGGTGCAGATGTGACCATAATATCTGTGAGCAGACTGGCTGTTAGCTCCGGTACCTCAGATGCTTTCCAGGGTTGGTGTCATGCTGTAGCAATTTAAAGCAAGGATCTCATTCATGTAAGAGGCCCAGAACATTGGATAGCAAATATTCATCCATTTATATTGGAAACCCCTATTGCATTTTGGGGTCATGACTGTATGATTCAATGAGGAACTCAACTTGGATCAAATTTGTCTTAATCACCACTGTAGCACAACCCACCCCGAAACCCACCCTGACACTAACCTTGTAAACCGAATCACCTGTGTGTGTTGTTCTGCAACAGCTTAAAGATGTTATTAAGACTTTAAAAGATTTACAGTCACTGTTGGGACCATAAATTAGATACAGCCGTCGTGGGCCTAACTCATGATGATCTGCATAACTTTTTTGATATTTTGTGAATAGATCCTTCACTGACATCACCCAAAGTCCTTGCAGAGAAGGCAAAACAAGATCTTCACCGTATAGCTAACAAGCATCGGCAGTATCCTGCATTCCCCCACAGGACAAACCATCATAGAAAGAACACGCTAAACCTTGAAAGTGCTTTTGCAAAAAAAAAAAAAACAAAAAAAAACAAAAGGGGAGAGATCTTGGCTCCAGGTCAAACATTCGCTCTGCTGTAAAACGCATGCATTTTTTTCCACCAGAATGACAGAGCAATACAGAACCAGGTCTCTTTATCAAGGCATCCAGCTAAAGACATCACTGCAACTCGCCCTGAATACCAGACAGACTCCATCTCCTCAACAGGGAAGTGGTGTCGACTCTTGAGGACTCACCTCCTCAGAATTATAGCAATCTGTTGTCACTCACTCAGCTGCATTTCAAATGTTAAAATATGTACGTGTGTCTGTTAATACCTTTCCTGGAGCACTGTTTGCATCCTGTCATACAGCAGGGAGTCAAGCATCTGACCTGCATTCCCCATTCACCGGCCGGTCAGGCCACTGTGAAGCACACATCTAGCAGCTAAAGCGTCTATTACAACAACAACAACAACAAAGGGGCAAGATGCAAGATACCAACCTACACCTCACAAAAGGCTAAATAAGGCATTATATGTCATGAACATTGTAAACATTTCCCCTGTCTCACAGGTGCCACCAGTACTGTGTCATTTTTCATCGCAGATACCAGATCAACAGGAAGTCCAGAGCAAAGCTCAAGTCTTAACAAAACCTAGAAAGGGGTAACTGGGAAGGACCATTTCCTTTAATAACCTGGGGACGAGGTGATGCTGGTGTCTCCACAGGTCTCATCTCCAATGGTCACCAGCAAGGTGTGTGCAACCACCCCTGAGGGTGAGAGGCAGCCAGCACTCAGGATCCAGCTGTGGGTGCTGTGGGTGCCCCTGTGCCGACAGTTTGGGATCTCTTCAACTGACCGTTCAAACAGAATGTCTGAGTGATGTTTGCTACTGCAACAGAACAAACTACACTGCAGTTGCCAATTCTTTTAAGACAAAATGCTACCAGGAATTGTAACTTCTTAATGACATATATAAGCTTACTAGTCACTTATACAAGATGTACTTTAGATAAAATATAGTTATTAATAAGGATAAGATGCTGTAAGAATGTGTGTATTCAACTTTCTTTGTGTAGTAATATTAAGAATTAAGAGCTCAAGTGTTTAACATTATTTAGAAACTCCCTTGGTTTTCCCCCTGGAGTACTGGCCAGGCTCCAGGTTTAACCCAACACTCAGATGTTTCCGCGCAAAGGAAGTTCCCAGTTATTTTAGCCTGTTGCTTTAAGGGCTGAATCTGGTTGCAACGACTTTGGATGCCTCACCTATGGATGGACGCATCACGTAGGGTTTCCAGTTTATGAGGAAGGGCACGCTAAACTCTCGCTGTATCCAGGGTTCCCTAGTAATTGCGGATCTGAATGTTAGTACTTCTATTAATTAAGTGTGCTATTCCGTACTTTCCTTACTGTTTATTTCGTAGTATTTAGTCATATCCCTTGAATATGGGTAACATGGGATGCTTTGTACTTAATAGGGCACCTTTAACAGTTTATTACGGTGATTAGGAATAGTATTATTGATTGTAATAAGTATTAAGATGGCATATAGTTGTATAATGAGAAATATTAGTAAATTTATGCTTGTGCAGCCTGCACAAAAAGAAAAAGGGGGAATTGTTGGAGAACGGCTTGCAGAGAGCAAGGTCAAAGCTCCCTGCAGGAGCTGGTCCGCCATAGCTCCCTGCAGAAGTCGGTCACAGCCACCTGAGGTAAACAAAGGAAAAAACCCAGTGTACATTGATGATAACAAGGACTGTTGTGAGAACAAAGAGATAAGTTGGGGCGCATTATGACCTTGGGGGTGAGAGTAAAAAAACAGCCCTGGGAGAGAAGCAGGTTCACAAGAAGAAAGATGTTTATGCATAACAGAGATGCCACGAGGGGCTGGGATCTTATAATGTGAACTTTTAGATGTACCCAATGGCTGAGACATTATAATGAAGTTTCTTAAATGTATCCAATAGAGTTCCAAGTAGTGTATTGTAGAGTGCTTATATAAGTGTGATTTCTTTCAATAAAGTTGAAGCTTGCTCTATCATTCACACTGAATCGCCTGCTTGCTTCCTCTGCCCGCCGCAGGGTTATGCACAACACGACTGCTCAGCACCCACCGACCAATTCCCAGCCTGCTCCTGGCCAGCAAGCCCGACAAAACGGAGATCCTGACACTGCAAAACTGAAGCAGGAGAGAACACACCTGCTGTATATCCTCAGCATAACGTCACGGGATGGGGAACACTCCAATGGCCAGTCTGGGCCTCGCACTCCGGCTGTGCCCCTCCCAGCTCAAGAAAATTAACTCTATCCCAGCTGAAACCAGGACACTGTCATAGCAGGTTAAAGCTACTCTCTGATTGTGGGACAGAGCTGGACACGGGTGAGCAAACGCCTCAGGTGACCACAAAGCAGGGATGGGCCGGTCTGGAGTTTCTGTCGGGACTGAAGCAGAAGGCCCGGGGGCTGTGCCGGGGTGTGTGAACCCTCTGGGATGAGCCTGAGGGTACAGGAAGGTGCTGATGGGACATGATGGGGGTCTGGGGAAACCCCAAGAGGAGCTGTTGGCCAATGGCGAGCTGGGTCCCCAACCCCACAGCGGAACCCTGCCCCACCCGGCCTGGGTGACGCGTCACAATGTGACCCCCTTTGTGACACGTCTCCGTGTCACCCCCGGCACCGTATCTGAGCAGCCCCGCAGCGTCTGACCAGACAGGGAAGGGACAGGGCAGGAGCGCAGTGAGGACACTCCTGAGCACAGCCCACGTCTTTCCCACCACCCCTGGCGTTTCCCTTAAACTGAACCCCCCCACGGTCCCTCAACCACTTTCCTCCATTTTTGAGGATGGCAGAGAGACCCCCCAGCAGCCCCAGGGTGGTCTGGGAGGAGGTGGATGCTCCCCAGGAGAGCAGCTCTCCTCCGGAGCCCCACGAGGTGTCCACGGTGCAGCCACTGCAGATGGGTGAGTAGAGAGCTCCCAGGGGCGGGCTCCATGCCAGGACCCCGTTTCCTCGGCGTCGGGCCAATTAAAGCTCTTCGCCGCCCGGTAGGATGGTTGGGAAGGTGGAGCGTGCCACTGAATCTTCCGTGTTTCCCTGTAGGCGAGACGCTGCTGGAGGAGGATCCAGAGCTCCAACCAGGATGGGATACTGAGAGCACCTGGATGCTTGCTTCTCTTGACAGCAGAGACCTGACAATGGTAATGAGCTCCCCCCTCGCAGGGACCCTTGTCTGTGGCATCGGCTTGTGCAGCAAAGGGACCCAGGGATGGTTGAGCTCATCAGCCGTGCAGCACCGTCGGCATGCTCAGAGTGACACGTCTTCCCACCATCCCTCCTCCCGTAGGTGTTTGGCGAATACCTCCAGCCTTCTCAGAGGATGGACGTTCTCCTTGTGGCCATCGCGGCCTTGACGTCAGACGACATCCAGGACAGGCAGATGGGCAGAGATGTCGTGGACATGGCCGTGAGAGACCCCGCGTCCTGGCTGACGGATGTAAGTGTCCCGTGGCTGGACTGTCCTCCTGTGTCAAGACATGTCAAGGCTTGTTCTTCCCTCCTGCCCTAACCCGGCTCTCTCAGGACCCCCAAACCATTTCAAGGCAGCAGGGAGGGGTGGGAGCGGCAGCACCATCCTTACCCACGTCCCCTCCAGGTGCCAGAAATCCTGAGATACATCCACAAAACCGTGGAGCACATCCGCACGGAGCCAGCCCGGAACAGCCTGGACTCGCTGCTGCTGCTGCTGACCAGGTGGAGCCCCAGGGAGATGGTCAGAAGCCTTCTGAGGATCTCTCCAACGTGTGACAGGTACCAGCCCCGACAGCCTTGAGGGCTCGCTCCCCACGGGGAGAGTGGCCCAGAGACTCTCTGCCTGCCAGACCCACGGGAAACTGCAGGATATCGCCGAGGAGCAGGGCTCTCCATCCCACCACGCTTCCCCCTTCAGCCAGAGCCAGGCAAAGCAGAGCCCCTGCCCCATGGGAACAGAACCTCACCGCCCTTTGCCTCCTCGGTCACCCCAAAATGAGGGGGTGGGCAGGGCCGGGGCCCAGAGGAGCCGAGGCAGCCTGACTGACCGAGTTCGCTCTGGCTCTGCAGCGCTGCCATGGCCATGTGGGAGGTGATGATCTCCACGCCCTGGGATCTGTGGAGCATCTTGTCAGAGCTGGTCAGCGTGCTGCGGGACTGGCGGCTGCGCAGGGTGTTCAGCTCTGCCGCGGAGGACGCCTGCATCTACCCCTTGGCTGTGAGTGACCCACGCCCAGCCCCAGCGATCTCCCTTCCTCCTCCACCTCCTTCCTCTGCTCAGCACCAGCCAGTCCCCGTTCCACACACTCGGGCCCACCCCATGCTCGTTTGGCACCACCAAGCCTGTCCCGGCACAGGCAGCACTCTGCCCTCCCCCCTGCCGGCATCCCCCTGCCCAGCTCTGCAGCCTGGAGACCCCGGGAAGGGGCAGAAACCAGAGTCAAAGCGGTTGCTGGTCCTGGGTCAGAGACGCGGGGACTCTTTAGGTGGCTGCAGGGGGGAGAGGAGACCCTTGCCATGGACCGTGCTGGTGGTGAGGAGGAAGACCTGCAGCTCTGCTGTCTCTCACCGCTGTCTCTATTTTAGCTCCTGGTCTGCGCTGACATTGATGCAGAGGAGTTTGCTGCCCTCTACAAATCCCAGCGGTACCTGAGGCATCCCAGCCCAGCGATGCTGTCGCTGGTGCTCACGGGCCTTGTCACTCTCTCAGAAACACCTGGAACGGTGAGCGGGGGGGTCAGCAAGGGGAGCCACATCGAAGGTGGGGGCTGGGGTGGTGGTGTCTTTCACCGCTTCACAAAAAGGCAATGGTGTGTTTCGTACAGGCCAGAAAACTGCCAGTGCTGCTGCCGGACATACTGGAGACCCTGACGGGTGCCAACGCTGATGTCAAGAGCAAGGCTCTGGTGGTGTTTATCAACGTGCTGGGTCACATGAAGAGGGAAGAAGCCAACCTCATCTCCCTGAGGCTGGC